TCTCGTCCAATCCTCGTTGTTATTAATTTTTCTGCCATATTAATTAAAAGTGCACTTACAACTACGGAATATGACATTTTTACGATTGTATTATGGCCCATACGATGACAATTTTGTCACGTGACATTTTCGTGTTTTAATATATCAAAAAGAAGCCCGTCATCATTTAATATCCTTTTTCTGTATACTGTTAAGTTCAACGGATTTTGAGGGTACATTCGTTTTATACTCACAGTTTATCTATTATGTTTATGAAGATTCATATTGTGAACTCCTATCTAAGACACTCAAGTCACTATTAAATAAATTCAATTTACCTAAATTCGATATCGACCTATTTTTTGAAGAAAGTGACGTAGCTAGATGATGACAAACTATTTAAACAAAATTTTCTTGATAAGACAGATATAACAACGGATCCGGTTATGCATCGATTACCATTTAATATTAGAGCATGTACTGGTATTTCAGCTCTACGTCGAATAATTAAAAAAGAAAAACTTGGTACAGAACCACGCAATTCTCATTATTCAACGAAGACCCTTCACTAGCTACAAGAATAGTTTGCATATCTTCCTTTTTACTCTTGTATAATGATCAATTTTCTTGTAAGACAAGTTTCTTTTTAAAATATTCATAGTGGTTGCTATGTCGTCTATCATTAAGATAAGTAAAAACAATAAAAAAAAATGTGCCAACAATTGACTGAAAATTCAGAAGTGGACGACTTTCCAATGTTTCCATTGAAAGATAACTTGAAACGGTGAAATCATCTGCACTTGAGCATGATACCAATCTTTCATTTACCGGTTTTTGAACAGAGCTTACAAGCATACATTTTCGCATTTCAATGCAGAAAAATTTGGTGTAAATCAATCTGTGCGCGATTGAAAAAAGGGTACAATGGTAAAGGTATGATTTAAATGTGAAGAAAACATAGCAATGTCATGCTCAAACAAACCCAAAGTGTACTAAATATGACTATTATTTTAGTGATAAAGTTAATAAGACAACCGCCTATAAATTGCTGTAAGTTATTTCTTTCATAATTACGACTTACTTTTCGTAATATTTTCTTTGGTAAAAGAAAAGTGCCTGAAAAGATAATTGAATTTAATGGCATAATCAAAGTCCATCTACGAGAGACCTGAGTCTCCTATAAGTATATGACATTTGTGTGACATTTTTTGTTCTCAAAACAAGAATCATATCAAATCGATCCATAGCTCCAATGCATGTCGCTGATGCAAAAATGTAAAAACTGAGATCAAAATTATTGTTTATAATATACAGTAACATGACATTTATTTTAGTTTATTACACCCGGAAAAAATACGATGCATTGAGTCGGTATGATTACAGAAAAAAAATAGTATTTACAATTATTCAAGATGAATAAAGCATTGTTCATCTAAGACCAAGCCGATAAGTAGATTACAAAAGATAATTTACTTTTTCATACTGTGATATGTAACAAGTACAAATTTATATTGATGATACATAATGCTTTTTATTCAATCAAGTCGATAAAGAGTAAGGAGAAACATATCCCATAATATTTTCATATAAATATATATATATGATATATTACCTAGAGAGCAACCTAGATATGTTGAGGATAAAATTGGGGGTGAATTATTCCATAATAATCGAATACGTATAGGTAATGCAAGAAAATTATATTAGAACAATGTTATATAGTGTAATTCCTTTTAACTTTTACGAAATGAAGCTCGAAAATTACTAATAGATCTTACGCAATAAGAATATGAAATATTTTTTGAAGATGTGAAAAAATATTTATGAAGTACCACTATATTTAAAAAAGAATCTAGCATTGAAAAACTCAATTTTTACTTTATGTACAAATTTCATATACTTCATTCAAATCCACTCGTCATACTGATGAACTCAAACTTATTGTCACAACTAATCCTGATTCATAAACTGATAAGGAAAGTAGACTATGCGTTAATGAATGATGATATTATTTACTCGAAAGTATTGATGAAAAATGATTCATTAAAGAAAAAAACAAATACTGTTCGGGTAATGATGATGCATTACTCGAATCACTTTTTGGCAATGACAGTACCAAATGGGCGTTTGAAATTTCTTACTTTAGCTTAAGTTGTTAAAATATTCTTATTATTTCTCGTGACAATGATGGTATTGAGGAAGATTTTTCCATAAATAATGATACGATTACACTAAGTTGGTCGATATTAACTGATACGTCTTTTAGTGATTCATGATCGACATGGTGGTATTAAATTTTCTGGTAATGCATCTAATGGTAAAGCATGTATTCCTCTGATCTCACTCTGATTTAACGGATGTTGTTTTTTTTTCTTAATATTTATAAGTGTACATGAAGAAAGAAATTATTGTATCAATTCAAACTTCGCAGCTGCTGTTCAAACACAATTTGAGCTCTACGTAAACAGCAATAGAACGTTTAGAAAAAGAAAATCGAGTATTTGTATATGTGAATAAAGTTTGTCGGCAATTTCCAACAGGAGAAGTAGAAGAAGAAAAGAAGATTTTATCATGAAATGAAAGACTTACGATGTAAATTACATGAAGTTAGCTCGATTGCGTCTTTTGTTGGCGAATATTTACCACCTGCAAAAAGAACCAAGATATTATTCATATAGATAGAGTTAATATTTTAATTGATGATATTAATGCCAAAAGTAAAACGATTAATGAACAATTGCTGAAAGTAGCAAAAGCTTTGATTATAGTTTAAAAATAACGAAAATATATACTGGCTCAGCAACAAAACAAACGTCAGAAAATGGCAATTAATCCACCGATTAGTTTTAAATAAAAAAGAATATTGTATCATATCTTTATATTTGTAAATGTTTTAATTATATACTCTCAGTTTTGTCAGATAGTGTAATACTAATTAGAGGGAATATAGTTTATGTATACCGCATCAGTCAAAAGTGTGTTTTCTTATATGATTCTTATTCACTTTAGTTTTAATCACATTTGATTAAGTTGATCTCGCCATCAACTACTATTCAGCGATTCACATTGTAAAAAAAGAAGCATAACACTAATTGACATGTGTTAATTGGGGATGAAGAAAAGCAGTTTTTTAACGACAGCGTTTTACGTTGTCATTCTGTCTGGATATTAAAAGATGTTCTTCGCTTTTTGCGTTCTCATGTATCATGAATGCAATATTCCATGCGCACATGTATGAAATTCGAATGATGTTGACGAGCAGGATAAAACTACAGAGCCAATTGTGAAGCATCTTTGCTTTGTCTTCAAATCATCAATTCGTAGCGTGCATCTCTATCTTAAAAAAAGACAGCTGTAATAATAAAGCAACCTATGAACAAGAGAAAGTAGTATTTAAGACGTAGATATGTAAGAAAAAGGAAATCAATAACAATCTTTTTTGTTATAAGTGCATGGTCACAACAGATTGATTATTAAATCGTCTTTTTTTGTATTCTTCAATTAAGTATTGTTTTTCAAAAATTTTCGTCATAAAATATTCTGCATGATATCCAACTGGCTCTAATGTAGTCGCTGAGACTGTTGATGATTTCAACAGATATTTTCAATTTGATGTCGTTGTTATTAATCAAGATGATAACAGTATAAGTATACCTCTCGCATATGTCAATAGTACATTTGCAAATCAAATTCTGCTCTTATTGGACCGTTGTGATCTCATCTGGCTCTCGTTATTGTTAGTGAATTCAATACTGACAGAAAGTTAGATTTTACTGTTGCTAATGACAGCAATGGCAATGTAAAAATTTCGTTGCAGACTTGTGAATGTTACATCTGCTGTTTGTTTCCATTTCATTCGTTGTTTTCAATATCTATTTGATGCTTTCATTTACCTTGTACGTTGTTTTTTGTTAAATGCTTCTGTACTTGGTTTACTTAACAATATAGAATTTGGATAGAACTGACAGTCAACCTCTAATCCACGAAAACTATTATAGACATTCTGAAACTGATTACAAAATTTGAAAATTTCGATTTATCAACTATTGAACACTTCTATACTTGTAAGCTAATGAAACCCTAGCTACAACACAAAACACGTTGCTTGCAATAGCAGTGTGGGAGAGGGGAAGAGGATGGGGAGGGAGAAGAGTAATCAATGGAATTTTTACTTTTCAGATTATTTTTTGATGATAAATGTTTTCTAATCAACTTCGATCTGATTTCTCGGCAACTTTTTTCACATTCACATGAGCAACATCCGCACTCATGCTCATACCCTCATTAGTTACTATTGAATAGATGTCGTATTCTTTCAGCATACGAAAGAGCTTGTTTGTCTTTTTTCAAAAGAATTATTTGTTTTTATTTAAAACTAAAATATTCATATTTTGATCTGATTTTATTTTTATTAATAATGATATTTATTGTCCCTAAGCAACATTAAAAAACTACGATAGATTCATGGTTGACAATATTCTCGACTTGTTTTCGTTTCAAGTCAATCAACTTAATAGAAATGGATGCAAAACCAATTGATGATCCTCCACATTCAACAGAAAAATATGATGAAGGTGCATTATTACCTGAACAACAAAAAAAGATCAATGAATTAAAAGTAATTTTTCTATTATCTCATTCCATTTTCATTTAATTTTTAATTTTATTTAGATTCAAAAACGTATCGAAAATGAACGTTATCTTCAAAAACATCCAGAATTAAATATTTTAATGCGAGATTTTATTCGACAAACTTGTTTACAAAAACCTAAAGATATTCGTCAATTTGCAGCTAGTATGTTTATTTTGTTTCTTTTTTATTGTTTTCATTAAGATTAATTTTATTTCTCGTAAAGGTTATTTCACTCATCCAATGCTTGAAAAACGTATTGAAAATTTAATTAACGAACAAATAGAAACTATCAATTCAGACATAAAAGTTATTTCTGAAGAAATATATCAACGTTGAATAAACAGAAGAATAATGCTTGCTTAGTATTTTTTAAATATATATACATATTTTAAATTTTTAACATATCCAAAAGTAATTTTGACATGGATATTTTACCAATTGTATGTGAAAAATAAGTTTTTTCAATGAATATTGATGGTATACTACGAAGTAACGGTAATGTTAATAGTAATCGACCAAAACTAAATATAAAAAACAAAAATTTTTCTTTGAATGATGAAAAGAAAATTAAGTACCGTGTGGGTTGTGTCGGATTATGAATTTTTATAAATTGTGCTAATGTTATTTGTGCTTGATCTTGTAAATTTTCAATTAATTTAACTTCTCTCAATGTTCGAATATCTATAGAAAGAAAATTTTTCGTAAGGAAAACAAAAATTAATTTATTCTACCAAAACGAAATAGAACAATTGTTTTTAAACAAGCAAATTCAATCGGATCGAGTTTCAATTGTTTAAACATATGAAAAACATCATTAATTAATTTTTCATTTTCATTGTCACGATGAAGTACATTACGAAAAATTGGACCTCCATCATTGAATGATATGAAACTTTGTATTGCCCAAAGAAGAAATAACTCTGACCATGATTCTTCTAATAAAATTAACTAAATAAAAAGAAAATTCATTATTCATATATAATTCAAATCTATATGGCAAATGGAATAGTAGTTGTTCGAGAATAACATCAAATTAGATGATCTAAACTCAAGTTTGCACAAATCAAAAATTTATAAATGAGGATTTTTTATTAGTATTTCAGAAAGTATTTGAAAGACAGTTATTTCATAAGTGGCGGAGCTCTTAGAATTTGAACGCCTTCGATGTCAATCACTACCACAAATTCTTACTTAGACTTGTGTCTTATAAAATATTAAGAAGTTGAGCAGTATGGCAGCGTTAGGTAAGTTAAGAAATCTTGCGTAAAGTTTTTTCGTGCTTAAGTCATTACTGAATCGCATCCTCCTTATTGCGCAGCAGATGAGAAATTTGTTGAGATTGTCTCGCATTGTTTGTCAAAAATCAACTAGGATTTAACAGATATTTTGGTTTATTCTCTTCGACATATATGTATAAAAATTCTATTTGTCATGAAATTTAAAATAAAATGTTAACAATACTTCCAAGACAATGTCGGATTTAGGATTTCGGAAGCAAAGAAGATGGTTATAGATAGAAGAAATTTTCTGGACTCATTCAAAATAATGTAAGCTCATTTTCAGTTCGCTTTTTCTTGGAAAAATTGAAAAAATTTCTTGAAGGTGAAAGACCGTTTCTTTGCCCCTCCCCATAAATCTATCACTGTCTACAAGTAGTTCCAACGAAAAACTGAATAATTGTAAAAGTAAACTACTACCCCTTTTTTTACTCACTCGGCAACATTAGAAAATTCTTTTTATTGAAATATGTCTTGTTTTATTCTATCAGCATCTTATTCTAAAATTGTTACTGGTAAAGTATGAGTTGTGTTAAAACTGTGTACTATTTAAAAGTTGCTATGAAACTCATAACAGTTTGAATCTAGAAAAAAACACATCTCAAAAAAAAAAAAAAGTTTGGAGAACAACTCAGATTTTAGAATTTCCTTGGGCAATACTAGATTTCTGGCCATCCTGCTTAAACTTCTCATATACATGTCCTGTTCACAAACAAATACTTTAAAAAAAATGTCGCTCCTCTTCTGTTTTTCTTTGAAGATTAGCAATGATACTTTTTTGAAAAAAAAACAATTCATCTGATTTATTTATTTGATATATGCATAGATGTTCGTTTCAAATAACATGCTATATAGGATTAGATATTATTTGACAACGTTTGAACTTGTTTCTTTAGATAAAAAATAAACAAATACCTGATCACAGATAGGTAAATTTAAAAATGTTGGTAAATTACGTATCCATTTCATAATCATCAAAAGAATTTGTGATGATATTGTATAGATTGTATCATCTAGATTATTAGCTAAATTGTATTTATATATTGTGAAAAAAAAAATGAATTATTTATTGTTACCGTCTTGTTTTGTCACAGCTGATGAATCGGATGTGAAATTTGTTTGTTGAGAAGGACGATCATGCATAACAGATATTGCTGTTCCGTTATGATCATAATGATAATCAATTGAATTCATTTGAATTTGAGTATCACTACGTGATTGACGTTCATTTTGTACAGCTGAATTTTTTTGAAATATTTTATTTCGAATGAAAAATAAAATAAAGCTTTACCTTCTTTTATCATTCCCCTTTGTAAACACTAAAAAAAGAAAAAAAATTTCATCTATGTAAATAAATCAGTAAGATGATTAGAAGTAACGAATTGACCGACAATTTTTTTTTTCAAAAATTCTTTCACAAAAGCAAAAAAAAAAAGGACAATACTTGAAATAAAATTTATATATTTAACCTTTTTAAGTCGACATGCTTGACATTGATTTCGATGAGCTTTATCAATAATACATCTACCTGTACTTGCTTGACATCTAAAAGTCTCAAAATAAAAGTAATTTTATTTAACTTTTTAGAAAAAAAAATTTTACCGATAAATTAATTTTCGTCTAACACTTCGTTTAAAAAATCCACTACAACCATTACATGCTAATACGCCATAATGTTTACCACTTGAAATATCTCCACAAACTTCACAAATTGAATTATTATTTATTGAAGTTCCATTGTTTTCTGTATATTTAGCAATATTAGCAAAATAAGCATGAGGTGCCATTGAATAAGGTTGAGCAAAATTAAATCGATGATTTGTATATGAATGAGATCGAAACATTTTGGATGACGATAAACACATTGATAGAATATCAAATGGATTTTCAGTATTGAAATTTGTTTTAGGATGTATTAAAGAATTATAAGAATTCAATGAAGATTCTTGTTTATCATTACTGTTACTACTATCATCATCTATGATTAGACGTGGTGATGAATTATCTAATATTCAAAAAAAAAAAAAAACTAAGAATTGTCAAATAAGTGTAATTAATTCAAAAGAGAAACGACGTACTCTCATACACCTTAGAGTATGTCGTTATCTTCTTGGACTTAGGTCAAGATTTTTCTTAGCTATAGAACTGTACTACCATTGCCGTCTCGTACTTCTTGTACTCTGGAAAACATGCGAGAACGTCATTTCCCTCTTGAATTATTTTTTTATAATGAAAAGTAACTGTACAATTGATTGACAAGCTTAGGAATGTTAATCTATTGAAATAGGATAAACTCAGCATGATGTCTTTATTCACTGATTATTTGTACGAAAGAAATAGATAATGAGAATCTAATTTATTGTAGTCTTTCAGAATGTTTCGATAGATTTTGATTAATTTCTTACCTTTATCCATTGCTGATTGTTTATTTTTTGTAATATTCATAATTGAAATAGAAAATTGTTATGAATGTGTCAAGCGTTCGATATGTCACGATTGAAAGAAAGAGTACTATTAACGATCATTGTCGATCAACTTAATTTCGAGTGGTCAGAAAAGAGAGAGAGAGAGAGAGAGAAACCAAATCTTTGATTGGCTCTTATTAACTCAAGGTGGCAGAGAGAAAAGAAAAACATGCCATATTTTTCTTTCAACGAATCATTTAGATTATAGACAAAGATTGATGATGACAAAATTTTTCTGCCTTCTTATTAGAACTAGTGACATAGCTAGAGTTGTGACAGTACGGCACTTAACATGACCGGGCTCTTCACAACGGTCAAGAAGAAGAGGCTCAGTCAAACTGAAATGTATGGACCGGTCGGCTACTTGAACTAAACTTGTATGATATATGTTTTGGTAAAGATCAAACTGAGTTTTAGATCGTCAGTTGAAGAGAACGTTAGATTTGTCTGAAAAGTCTAAGTGAGAAAATTCAAACTTTAGAGTTCTACAATCAGTTAATGAAAAAATGACTCGTTTTTGCGCTATTATTGAAATGTCACATATTTATCTTTGAGAAGATTTATTAAAATCTAAATGCATAAAGAAAAATGAAAGTTTTGTTAAGCTATTTCCATTAACCGATTAATGATGATCCAATAAACAGCCAGTTTTGTCGGTTTTCACCGATCTAAAAGTTTTTTTGAACCATTCGAACAGAACTGGTTCACAAACTCTATTAGCTCAGTTCCATAACATCTCTTGGTTATGTCACTAGTTGAAACATACCAGACAAAATGCATTGTTCAATATCAAAAATATCATTTTACTACTGTAAATCAAAAATATGTATATATGTAAAACACTCTCGAAGTTTATGTTCATTTGTGCGTACCTCGATGGTAAAGATAGCATTGTCAAATATTTTATTCTTTTAAAATAGATAATGTTATATATTCTAGCTTGGAAGCATGGATCTATATCAATAGCAAATAGATAGACATTTTTAGACTGTAATATAAGGTATAATGAAATTCAATAGCTTTGATTTAAATCTTGTGTGTATAATATATTCGAAGTCACTAATTTGATGTTCTTAAACTAATATTGATTTTACGAATGGAAAGAGAATAGAAGTGCAGAGGTCTAAATATATTGTTTACAATATTTCGATATCATATATACTTGTCATTGTTTCTTGTATGAAAATGATAGAAAATGCAGTCGGACAATTCTCGCTACAGTCTGAATCAGCTTCATTTGATGATGGTTTAGTGCGGTTCTTATATTATCAATTGCAATGATTCATAATTATATTAAATATAGAAGAAAATAGCTTGTATAATAAAGAATAATCAGATAAATACGTACAAAAGTTATCAACATTTGTAATATACAGATACGTTATACATACATAATGGAAAAAATAATGTTGTTTATTCTTACTTCTGAACTATGATCAGTAAGTAACACACCATTCGGCTTAAACCGAATTATTATATTAATTCTACTCAAACAATGACCAGTCGACAATGAATTCTTTAACTGACTAATTACAAAGATAAGTGAAGACTTATCATCTCCATTTTAATTTGATGCATCCCAAACGAATCGGAAAGGAACCGCATCGGAGATATACCAACCAAGTCATCTATCTTTACTTTAATTGACACATAAGTTTTATTTTTGTTCTCATCCCATTGAACAATATATTCCATTCTTATTAGATAATAAATACATATTTTGAATGTATTTCAAATTGTTGCGTAAATAAAAATTAGAATGCATTGAATCGAATAATAACTTTTGAAAACAAGAAATTAAAAAAAAGAACAAATTTTCAATGATAACTGAGTCGTTTATACATCGCGTGTTCTTTGTTCATGTGTTGTACACTTGAAATTTACCTTTTTTTTACTTGTCTAATGAGACACGCAGCAAGTCAGTGTCAATCATTATGTCGATCTGCTAACAACAAGTAGGATTAGCTTGACTTTAACCCAATTTGTCATATACATTTGGCATGTCTCATTAAAGTTGGACACGTTTGCAATCGTATAATATAGCTTAAATTTCGTTTCACGCATGCACACACTATGAGTTATATAAAAAAAACAACCGAGAGAAAGAGTTATATCACAGTGAATGTGAAAATAGCTCAAGAATAATCTCTATATATATACATACACAAACGCGGATATAATAAAGGTTATGAGCATGAAATCAAGAATAGCACAAAGAGAAAAAAAAAGGAATATGAAAGAACAAAAAGATCGACTAGTAACAAAAAGGTTTTTATTGACGTTGTAGGTTTTTTCTTTTTATTTAAAGTAAACCAAATCCTTCAGCATTATTAATTGCAATTAATAGTTTTTCACGTAACTTTTCCATTGATGAATAATCAGGAAGAAGAAAAGCATTGAAACATGTATGAGCTGTTGGTAAACGATCAGTATCAGGACCATTTCGGGATATAATTAGTTTCAATCGTGCTAAACCACCGATACTAAAAAAAAAGTAAAGAGTTTTGTCTTGATTATGATAAACTAGAATGGAAATACTCACGGTGCACGATCACTACCCGTAGTGAATCGAAGAAATTTTCGTTTTTGTTCATCAGTAAAACTCATTAACACATTCCAAAAATTTCTAAAAACAAAGCATCAGAGAAAATTTTCATACAATAAATTCAATGTTAAACTGATGATTATAAAATTTACAATTGAGAAAGTTTTTCTTTTAATCAAAGCATGTTTTACAGAAGAAAAATATTTTGCTAATTCATCCACTTTTCATTCAGCAGTACTTTATGGAAAAAAACAAATACGAATTTGTATTAGAAAATGTTTATTGTAATGATAGAAATGAGAACATAATTCAATAGTTCATAAGATAGTAGCAACCATATATATATTATTATAATGTTTTACTAATCTTATTAAAGTATTCATCTAATGATAAACAATCTTTTTCATATCGTTTCATTACGTCAAAAATTCATCGATTCTGACAAATACATTCTTTTTTTGTAGAAACTTATTTATATTATTTTCAAGTTGCTTCATTATAGCTGTGTTTAACACATAAGCTTTCTTTAATACATCAATCAGTGCATATAAGTTTGAATTCAAGTTGTATGTGGTAGTAGACAAGTCCAATACGTACACTAGTATCATTACTGTTCAGTTTATTTCTTTCTCTTATAATTATTAATTATTTGAATAGGACTGATTGTAAATGTGAATACTTAAAAACCCATATCTTACCTGATTGTTGAACTATTTTGTGAATAACCACCATCATATTCAGCAGCTGAAGCAAGTTGATTAAAATCTAATACATGACTACCAGCAACGAGTAATTCAATTTCATCAGGTCGAAAAAGTTTTCGTAATGAACTATCACGTGTTACTAATAAAAATCCATGAAAAAATGGATGAAATTGTTTTTCAACACTTTTATTTAATAGAAGATCACTGTAAAGACGTATAAACTCCTGTAAATCAAGAAATCAAAATTTTTTTTAATTAAGATTGAAAAAAAAAAGATTTTTTTTTTCTCAAATAACCTCTCGATTATCACTTGTTACTGGAATATTTTCACCATTCTCTTTTAAATCAAATGTAACTCGTGAACCAGTTGCATCTGTAATACCAACTTGAAATGTTAAACCAAATGCATCTTCAACTGTTGCACCGTCTTGCTGTTCATTGAATGATAAAAGATTTTTTAAACTTTTGTAAATAGTCTAAACATAATTTATATAAACAAAAAATAAAAAACGAAATGTCGTATTTAAACTCTTTACCGGATGTGATGTTTCAAGATCTTTGAATGTTCCAACTTTACCCATTAATTTACGATATAGGACAGGTGGAAATTTAATATCAAGAATAATTGAATTATATATAGCTAAACCTAATAACATGCCAATTAATGTATATTCCCGATCGAGATCTTCAGCTGCTGATGGATTAAACCATAGAGAACGTGTTTCTTCATCAGCCATGAACATACCTAAGATAGGAAATGATTTTCTATGATTCATCTCGAATATGATAACAATTTCTGAAAGAAAAACTAAGGATATATCGAATCTAAACCTTTTAAACTTGAATCGATTCATAGTTTTCGAATAGACGATGCCAATAATCGATTGTTTACAGTCTCAAATATGGTGTCAAACAATGTATATGAATAAATTGTAATTATATGAGACGACTGAGACTTTGTCTATATTGCACCAATAAATTTTTACTCTGGTCAATTAATTTAGGATTGTCAAAGCAAACTTCAACTTTTTAGCTCATATCGTCTCTGAGTTATAAGATTTACACGATGAAAAAATCGTATTGTTAAGTCAAACGTACTAAAAAGAAAACGAAATTTTAGAAACTACGAAGGAGAGAAAAAATGACGAAAAATAATTCATCTTTTAGAGCGTGAACTATTTTGTCAAATTGTATATTCTTTTCTTTCTATGGTCTTTCATCAGCAACATACGGTGACAGACACTTTGTCATTTTTGTATAGAAGAACATTATGTTTCAATGTGCACAAGTTGAAAAATAATGAAAGTGTGCAAACGATAAAGAATTTGATGAGAAAACAAATAATAAAAAGACATCCCACCATCAACAATTTCTTTTTCAACATATACTCGCTCTGTAGAAGGATATTTTGAAAATTACTTTGTGAATAACTCGCCAATGGCTTGATTGTTTCCAATCAGATTTTTACCATAGACATAGTTCTCACAGTTGTACACACACTCACTTAAGACATAGAATATAATAAAATATAACATTCAAATATTGTTTATATCTCATTTTATTTTTTTGTACCAATCTTATCAAAATTTAGCAATTCACTCATATGCAGTAGATATCAAAATTATTCAACAACATTTATTTTCGATTTTTTTCGTTGTCATAAGAACTAGACAGATTCAAAATTGTGATTTGAATAGAGAAAATAAAAATTATCTCGTTCTCAAAGACGAAGACACCAGAAAACCAAAAGGCTAGTTTTTCAGTATACAGAACACAAGAGAAAACTATCTTTTACAAAATGAAATGTCTCTGAATTCTCTACCATGTCTTTTAACTGATTCAATTGCTGAACTTTTGGTTTTCTGAAGGCTCTCTCTTTGGCAATTTGATAATCATTTTTATTCATCTATATTCCTTTTGACAACAATTTTCTCTGAATTCTCTCGATGGCTCTAAGGGATAAATCTCATTTCAAATCATAAGTAGTAATTTTAAAATCATTTTTAATGCATACCATATTCAGGACCAAAAATTTGTTCCGTAATAAGTTGAAAGAATTCTTTTGATAATCCACCTAAACCAATCAAGAATACAATATTTTTAGTTGTTTTTGTTCTCTAAAGAAAAATTATTTTTTTCCTACCTTCGTCGTGACCTTGTTCACCGTCGAATTCGACAAAGAATTGTTTTTTCAGTTCAGCTGGTTGTTCGATACCTTGATATTCGAGCTAGACAAAATAAATTGTCTTCTATAGAAAGAAAACTTGCTTAAGAAGAAATGAGATATGATAACATACAGCGATTAAAGCATCTTCAATAAGATGATTACGTCGAACACATATTTTAAAAAATGGATCAAGACGAATACCACTGAATAAACTATGAAAAAAAGATGTATGTCGTTGTCGATACATTTGTACTTTATTTTCGATGTTAAGAAGTGCTAAAACAAACAATAACAATGAAATCAATAAAATAAAATAATTTTTAATTACCAATTTTGTTAATTGTTGATAAAAAGAATGGATATAAAATAAATGAAAAAGGTAGCATATCAGGTCTTTGCCGAACAAACTCAAGATATTCTTTATTTATTTCAATTTTTTCATTAGCAAATTCATTAATAAAATCATCAAATGGCAAATAACCATGACGATATTCATTTGGTTCAAGACCAAGTTTAATTTGTAACGGATTTTCATAGATTGATTCCATTTCATCTTGTTCACTAGTTGATGTACGCATTGAAAAACTAGATGATCGATGACGTGTTGGAGTAGTTACAGCTTCTGATCTATTTTCTCTTGGTTCTCTTGATTGTTGCTGTTGTTGTTGTTGTCCTTGTTCATCATTATTACCATCATCAGTACCATCATCATTATGCCGTTGACGACGATTTACTAATTCAACTTCCATTCGTTGATCATTTTCACGTTCTGTTTCAATTATTTCTAATGTTTCACGTTCACCAGCAAGAAGATTGGCATAGAAAAGTACTCGCAATACATAAAGTCCTTCATGCATACCTATTAAAAGTAAAAGTAATATTTTTATTAAATTTGATGTTGTCAGTATTACAATTCGATTCATATCTTCAACGAAATATTTCTCGAATATATCTCCAATAAAAGAATTTCTTTTCGGATTATTTCTAATCTGCAAAAGACCAATTTTCGTATATGCATATTTACAGACTTCATTAATTTTTTATAGTCAAACAAATCTTACCTAGATACAATAGTATATGATGTGGAAGTCTTGGTACAAAATATTCAGTCGTTTTTCGGTCAATTAAAGACGGCTAGTTAGAGCCAGAAGCTGTTTATTAGGATCAGAATTGTTCGTTCTTTCGAAATATGCACTGAAACTTCCCTTCTCGGTAAGATTGGATAGCTATCATCGAATTGTTTCTAAAAGTCTAAACTAGGGATTGCACGGAATACTATTTTGATAAATTTTGTATTTCGATCGAAACCTATCAAACTCAAAATGTGAAACAATTGTTTACAGCTCAGTTTTGTAGTACATAGTTCACTATTTACTTTTCCATGACACGTTCTTTACTGATACTAATTTCCATAGAAATTAGCTCTTCAGTGGAAACACATAGATTAGATTTCGCTTATTGTAATATCTCACTTTATATAGACAAAACTTTGAACTTTTTTCACAAAATTTACTAATAGTTATTCAATCTTACCCTAGAAGGAAAATCTGAAAATATATTCGACAATAGCACAAAAATTCTGATTCTCACTAGCTACTTCTCACTCTAATCAGTTGTCTTTTCGTGACTGAATATGTTGCGCCAAGGTTTTCCTATCATAGTTTAGTTCTATAAGCTGTAGATCTTTTGATTTTTTTAAGGATTTATCAAAGCCCTAAGAAAGAAATTTCTTCAGGTGTCTTTTCCTAATTTCAATGATTTTTTGCCTATAGATACTACATAGTGTTCTAATAAAAATCCTAAAAGAATTTCGGTTCCTATCGAACTTTTAACATGTCTATTTTTTGCACTCCATGCTTTCGGAAAACTAGGATTTGCGAATTTCAATCTAGAACTTTGCGCTTATAGAGAACTCTGACTAGATTAGCTTTGAAAAAATGCATGCCGTATACACTGTAGAAGAGGCTTCGTTCAAAATTCGAAAATGTGAGTTTTGTGAAAACCTGAGATCCTACAGAGACCTCTCGAGAAAAAAAAACTTGATAACTAAGCCAAAGTTCAAAAGGAATCCAAATCCTTTTAGGTTTTTAATCATAATACTATGCAGTGTCTATAGACAAAAAATATTATTGCAATCAGAAACACTCGATGAATATTCGGAGACTTGAAGTCTACTTTATACTTAGTCTGTTCAATGCATATTTACCTTTCTCACTCGACAATAGTGCTTCATTTGTACTATTAATATCTGTGTGATCACACCATTTCACTGTATGCATAGTAATATATTGCTGTAGATGTGCAGCATAAGCATTTATATCATTTTTATGTCTAGCTAAAACTCGTACAAATTTTGCTTGTATATCAATTGATAATTTCGAAAATATTGAATAGAATGCATGAGCAGTATCAAAAATAAATATTGGATCGGATAGATATGGTAATTGAAATATAATAAAGAATATATTTAAAAAATTAGCATCATTTTCAAGTTCATCTTTTTTTAATGATAATAATTCATTAGAAATTTGTTTAAATAAAACACCTAATGCATTATTAATTGTCGATGATATTTCATCTTCATATGACATTAACAATTTTATTGAACGTTTCAACATGTCAAAATCTAATGTAATCTTATCATTTTCGAGTGTTATACGTGAATCATGTAGAAAATTACCTTTAATGAAATAAAATTAATTTGAATATTTTTTTTTTATTGATACAAAAAAAAACAATTTTTGTTTTTTTTTTTTTTTTTACTTTTTGCTGTAGCACTTGCTGACGAAGAAGTTTCATTATTAAGTGATATATTCATAGGAAACCCTTTTTGTAAAAAACTTGATGATAAATTTTGTCGATTTGAAAAAACACAATAAATTAAGTTTTGCAGTAATGTCCAATTACTTATTTCTTTAGATTTATTAATTATTTGTTGAAGATTTTCTTCTATTACAAATAAATTTGAATTTATATATTCATCTAAATAGGTTGAACCATATTCATGTGTTAGTTTAATTGCTTCAGCAGCAGCATAATTTGGATCTGCAAAAAATTTTCGATTGTATTTAAATGATGAATTCGATGAACAATAAATATTTAAACATTGATTATCTCCTATTATTAATGAAAAATGAATTAAATACAAACAAAAAGGATTAAGAATTTATTTCTACGTACCACAACCATTCGTTAGTTGTTGAAAATAGCGTTGAACCAATTTGGCTAGAATATGAAAAAAATTAATTCATTCAATAATACGAAAAAATTTTATTAATCATCATCATACCTGCAGTCATATGAATAGTCTGTATTCAAATAGAACAATGATGTCTTTATTAAAATTCTAGAAAGAAGAATCAAGTTATTTCAGAGTAATGATGAAATATTACATCAATAGAAATGCCTTATTTAGTGTTAGCTGCTTTTTATTATCGACTTCTATATATTCATATGTGTATTTATGTCTCAGTCGCTATTTTGCTTGTCATTGTTTTATCTTAGTTGTAAAAGATTTCACCAATCCGAACGAATAGAATACCAAAAAAAAGAAGAACACTGATTCAGCAGATGGCGTTTTAGATTTATTTAGTATAGATTGGAACGAAAAGAAGATTTCAAAAGTATGACCTATCATTACTTCAGATCATTTTTTTTTCAAGTATTTCATTTAATAAACATATCAAATCAAACATAAATTTTAAGATAATCGAAATACCAATGTCTACTATACTAAATGATAAATTAATTTTCGTTTAATATTACATGAGTATGGAAATAAACTTGACGTCAATTTAAATAATACTAGTATGAATAATCTTTGATGTTTACAAGTTAATTTTTATGTTTCTATCAAACATACGAGGAAACTAATCAAACTAATATCTACCGCTTGAGTTCATGTGATGATTTTGGTAAGATTAGAAAAAAACGTAAAATGGTTCGCACTTGTGGATCTTTGAAATCGAGCTATGACCGTTCCACTGAGTTTTCGATCTGAAATTTCATTCATAAATAACCCTAGTGACTTTGAGAATATTCTCAGAGTCATCAGATCTATCTATGGGTGAAAGTTCTTTGTTTGGTTTTTCAGTAAATACCTAAAACAGAATCGAAAATTCAGTAAAACAGTCATACTTAGCTCGAGAGGCCCATGAGCACAAACTCTTTCAGGGTTTTGCTAGTTTTATCGGGATCTCATTGTGAATTTCATATGAGTTCAAATGGCGAGTATCAGTTCAGGTAGTTCCCTTGTTAGTGCATTGCATCATGATGACTATTTCTGACTTCTAAATATGTATACTAAGTTCATAGCTTTTTCGAGCCATATAAATTTCGTTCAATTGTACTACCACTACAGTGTGATCTATTAATAGCAAGATTTTTATGTATCTTCACAGAGAAAATTTCTTCTTAATCATTCAATCATGAGAATTATTAAGTGATTTTTTTCCATATATTTACCATAACAACTTCAAGTTTGCCAATTCATTTCATTGTAGCAAGAAAACCGAATGAAATCCATATGGTTGGAGAAAAATGCAAAGGTATTCTACGTAGTTAGAACTCAGAAATAGTCAATCGCGATACAATACACTAATCAAAGTTCTTTCAAATATATCATGAATTAATAAAGAAACATTCCTAACCGTCGACTATCGATCAAACTTATATTTGATTCAGCAAGAAAAAACAATGAGACAATTAATCGAAGTCTAAATGGATCCGAGTTAATATTCTACTCAGCCAGAATTATGAATGTTGTACTGGAATCTGCGAACTCTAGGCTAGATGCCCATCGAAACTTCAACTATTGGATATTCAATCTGAAAATTGTGTCTAGAAATAGACTTCAGAATCATCAGAAAATTTTAAAAATTTCAGCTCAAACGAATATAGTTTACATGAGATGTTAACTGTTCAATGAATAATAATATCTTGTAGGCAAAGCAAATAGAATCGACTAATTTTAGATACCGAATATCTAAGAAAAGAAAACTATATCCGTTTAAGTTGAATTTTTTTTTTTCAATATTGTAGTTGCTCTGAGACTTGTCTATGAACAAAATATCTCATACTTCAGTTTTTCATGAATATCTGATCTAGAGGCAGAAAACTTCAATAAAAATGATCATAATTTCGTCAGAATACAGTCAGTATAGGGCAAGTCTTACCGAATTCTCGTCATGAACTCACTTGGCGCCCAACATCAGTTGGATATGTTCCTTCATACAATATTACTGTTAATTATACTTAACATTTATTTTATCTCGTAAATCTTAAGAGAGGGTCCGCGAGAGGACCTATCAATTTTATGTGGAGCCGGTACCACTCAAAATTTAGATTTTCGATTTCATATTCTGAAACGATAGGCCATGGTTAGGACCTTATAAATCCAAAATATGAACTCTTTATACCTCTCCTGTAAAAAGTTTTGAATTATACAATGTGACACGTCGTTTGACCTTGGTCAAAAAACTGGATTTTTAGGGTGTTCTCGGTATTTTGGAGTTTTCTCTGCAATCACTCGTCCGTCTGAGTCCCGACACGTCTCGAAAGATGCAAAAATGTTTTCTCTACAAAACTGGTTAACTGAATCATTTTTATAAGGTACTTTATTAATTCATAGTTTCAATATACAAGCAAAAATTACAATTCGATTTTGCAGCAATTTTTTACTATTTTGCATATTATTATACTTTGACTCGCTGTCCCAAAATAATTTTTATATTTTCTGAAAGCCCTTGAAATTCTGCATCTACTAAGGAAAAATTCAAATGATTCCAATTCTGGTAGCGAAAGTTAGCCCGTACCATAAATGTTCATATTTGATGGTCATGTTCATTCATTTCACCCCCGTATTTGATTTCAATACATTATATACTTATTCGAATAAGAAAATTGACCTCAGATTCATAATCAGTACACAAAACTACGTGAAATGGACTACTTTTAAGAACTCTTCAAAATTTATTGCNATTTATATAATTCGAAATATTTTCTGTTTATTGAGTTTAGTATTAATCATATTTCTTTTCCGTTAAATAAAAACTGATTCGAATATTGATATTAGTTCATGAATGAAAAACTATGTTAGTTGTCTACAGATTATGGATAAGAATAAAGTAAATAGTTATTATATCTTTTATTTTCGATGTCTACTATAATATCTATTTGTGCTTTAAATTGCTTGAAGACAATAACGTTGTTTTTCATCTTCTCTATACATTGCCTTTCATACTTTCAATCAGTTTGTTGGCTTATTTTTGTGCTTGTTTGATTGTTTCTTCAACTTGTGCATCTGTTTTGAGCAGATCGTCTTCGAACTTCGCGTTATTTTGACATTGCTCGACGCTATCTTGAATGATCAATTTCACGACTCCATGAGCATACTAAAAAAATAAATAAATAAACAGTATAATTAGACAATATGAAACTATTAAATGACATTTCTTATATAATTACTGTCTCATCAAGTGTTGTACCGATGTCATAGACATATGCAACACGTAAAAGCATAATAAAATGTTGACCGAGTTCATTCAAAGCTTGCTTCTGCGCAGCGCCGATGAACATATCACATATTTAATGAATAATAGAGTCTGATGTTGTCTGCCTTCTTTTAAGACTACTGACATCAACTGATTCCAACCGACACTTCCAGCTAATGCAAACATCTCTCGATTAATAAATAAGACCGAACAACTGAGTAATCTCTACATCAAAATGAAATCCCTAAACATTTGACAAGTAGAATATGTCTAGATTCGATACAAAAATGAATTGTCGAATCTCTTTATCAATAGTAGTTTGAATATTCTCAGTCAGATGAAAATGATGTTGGATCGAACCAGTCGCTACTGCAGTACCGGGAGTGCCAATTGGACATTCCAAAGGTGGTGAAGATGGTACTGCAATGCTGACAGTGATGACACAAAAAGACCCATACCTGCCGGTAGGAAAAAATGTCAAAGTATACTGAAAAATAAAGAAAAATGGAATATCAGAATTGATTTAATTGAAATGATTTACTGCAATGATCAGTTTCTGCCTTGTGGACAAAGCGTAAAATTCAGTTCCAAAAACTAGTTTTTGACGAGTGTTTCAAAGTCGTTATTTAAACACAAATATTGATTTTGAATTTTTCCAAGTGCTGTTGAAAGCTGAATAAGATGCAGTTCACCGAAGCAATCACATGTTTCAGTTCTCTCATCACTGATTATTCCACAGTAAATTTGAGTCACACATAAGTAGATAAAAGTACTTTTAAGTAGATGATTCATGTTTACAGGTAATATGCGACAAGTAAAGGTTAACTAGCCTATTGTTTACTTCTTTCATATTCCTTTGAAAAAGTACTTACATAATACTTATCTATCGTACGAAGAAAAACATTCGAATCTGTCAGGGTGAGCTGTTATAATGCATTGATAAAAAAAATATGATATTGTAGAAATGAAATCAACCAATGAGGAATGATAAGCCATATCGTCAATTAGTAACCCTTTACCTTGAAAAAAATATCATTTGACTCAGGGTTTTTGTAATTTTTTTTTGTGCGGACATAGTTTTATTGAAAAACACAATGACCTTATTTCTTGAAGAAAAGAGAAATTCTGTCTTCTATTCTCAACTTTTGGTTTTGAGCAATCGACTAAGTCGCTAGTCAGATAAAAATAGAATAATAAGTGTGATGTGATTAGCAGAAATAAAACAGTATTGAATTATTTTCGTTGACATCTTTTATGTTACTTATAAGAACATAAACACGCTTCAGAACTTTACATTACAATTGAAGAAACAAAGTACAAAGATGATGAAAGTGAACTATGCCGATTTGAAAGAAGTGTAAAACTGAATCAGAATGGATTTCAAAAAGATAAAAATCAAAAGAAACAAATTAAAAAAATGAGAAAACAAGTATATGATTTGTATTTTGCACTTTTGATTGTAATGCAAAGCAGTGATCCGTGATTATATTTTTGTAAATAACATGGAATGCGTCAGCGAAAATAACTTTCCATTTCTTTGATTCTTGTAATCAAAGCACACTTATAAGTCGATTTGATTTATTTTTCAACTAAGTCGATTGCTGAGAAGCAACAGTGGAGACTAGCAGACTGATTTTTTCTTTTCTTCAAAAGATAGGTCAGTATGTTTTTCAAAAAAACACAACGTGAATAAATCTACAAAAAAACAGGGGTCATGTGATTTTTTTTTAAGCTAAAGGATTGCTAATCGACGATACGAATTATCATTTCTCATTGGTTGATTTCATTTATACAATATCATATTTTTTTATCAATGTTTAATAATAGCTCGCATGGACAGATTTGAATGTTTTGTTTTCCTACAAAAGAAAAATATTATGTGGGTACCTTTTCAAGGGGTATATAAAAGCAAGTATACAATGAGTTAGTTAAACATTTCTCGTCACATATTACCTGCAAACATGAATCATCTGCTCAAATTTGCTGTTTTCTATTTATGTGTGACTCAAATATTGTGTGGAATAATCAGTAGTGGCAAACGTGGAACATGCCGCTATTTCGGTGAACCACATCTCATTCCGTTTCCAACATCACCTGGAGCTATTCAAGATCAATATGTGTGCACTAATAACTGCACTGAAATACTCATCAAAAACAAGTTTATGGAACTGATTGTTAGTTTTAATCCAGTAGGCAGATATCCTATCAATGCGGTAAATGATTTCAATTTAACCATTCATTTTGAATATTTCATTTTTCTGTATTTTCTAGTATACTTTGATATTTTTTTCTACTGGCGGGTATGCCTATCCATGCGTCGTCACTGACAGTATTGCAGTACCATCTTCACCACCTTTGGAATGTCCAATCGGTACTCCTGCTTCTACAATAGACACGGGTACGACTCAATATTACAGCCATCTGACTGAGGATATTCAAGTCACTATTATTAATCAGGTTCGATAATCAAATTTTGTATTAAATCTACACGTATTCTACCTATCAAATCTTTAGGGATCTCATTTCGATATAGAGATTTCTGAATCGTTTGATCTGATTTATCAATCGGAAGGTACTTGTATTCAGTGGAATTGCGACCTCGAAATCAGGGGTGTGAGTGGCCGTAAAAAAAGACAGGAATCATCAAACCCTATCGTTACTCAAATAAGTGATGCATTCATCATTGCTGCACAAAAGCACGCGTTGGGTGAAGTCGATCAACTTTTGGTGAAATTTTTTCATACTGCATGTGTGTACGACGTCGATGCAACACATGATGAGACAGTAAGTATATAAGAAATGTCATTTAATAGTTTCACATTGTTTAATTATGCTGTTTCTCAATCTATTTAGTATGCTCATGGAGTCGTGAAATTGATCATTCAACAAAGCATCGAGCAATATCAGAGTGACGACAACTTCAAAGAGCGCTTGTTCGAAGCAGATGCACAAGCGGAAAAAGCAATCATAGAAGCACAACAACAAGTCGGCGACCTGCTTGAAAAATTGCAAGCCGATGTCAAGACAGCATGAAAACAACGTTATTGTCTTCAAACAATTTAAAGCACAAATAGATATTATAGTAGACATCGAAAATAAAAGATATAATAACTATTTACTTTATTCTTATCCATAATCTGTAGACAACTAACATAGTTTTTCATTCATGAACTAATATCAATATTCGAATCAGTTTTTATTTAACGGAAAAGAAATATGATTAATACTAAACTCAATAAACAGAAAATATTTCGAATTATATAAATAAAATCAGCCAATATTCGTATTTATCTTCAATTGCATTCATGATACATATAAAAATAAATTCAATATTTGTTTATATGAATTGTTTAATTCAAATCGAAATCTTATTGTTTTTTTCTTTTAAATTTTTGAATGATGTCAGATAAATGAATGATAAGAATAAAAGTGAAGTGATTGTTTTGCATTGCAACTACTTGATTGCATTCGAATTGAATGTGAAAGTAAAATACATGAAATACTGAAAACTATATTAGTTAGATACAAAGTAATTTAAAAGGCTTATGTTAGGAAGGAGTGTTTGAGACTTATTCGTACGATATCTGTTTTCTAATAAATGTAGTGTACTTAATTGATTTGGATATAAGGTTCAACGCTGCTATCACTGCAGTTTATTATTCTGGCGTCGCAAAGTTTGCAGGCTCAACTAGACCGATTAAGGTTTTTGATTTGTTAAATCTATCAAATTATTCAAGTCAAAAGCTTAAATTTCTTTCAATCCTAGAAGTTTCTTTGTTCAAAATAACTAAAAGCTCAATAATAGATGAAAAACATTCATCAGTGATGATGTAATTTTATAAATAGTATGTAATAATTTTTCATGTTTTGATAAAAGATCAATTTGCTCAGTTATATACGACCATGAAGTTAGCTAACTAAGGCAATTATATATTCCTTTAAATTTTCTCGATAAATTTTGCTCGAGTTTTTCATATGTTTCAGAAAAAGTAGTTAATATATTTTTAGCTTTGTCGAAGTATTGGTTGGATGAAGTTAGCAGTCGACTATTAAAACAAACTTGAATTATCGAAAAAGTGAATACAAAAGATTTTCTACATAAAACTTTACTTTCGATCACTTTTTTAAAAAAGTCGTTGATAAAATCATCACACAAATAGATGTAGAATATTGGTCTCGTCCATATACTAATAGTTCGATATGCACCAGTTCAAAGCTGGAACTTTATATAAATAATCGATGTAAAATCATACTACTTATGAGTCTTTGCGCTGTATCAGGTCGAGACAACTACAATGAATTGAAAAAAAGAAAAATACTGACTGTCTGCACCTGAGCAGGCTCAGAATTGGTTGAGCTTTCTTTTTCAATCTAATCGGATCGGCTAGTTGAAATTGTTTACTGAACCGGCAGAAAACCGATACATTTAAACGTACCGATCTACGATTTACTTATTTCGAGAAAAAGTTTGTTAGTACAGCTGTATGAATTCATACAATGTAAAACTCGTCACTGTTGTAGTTTATAATAGTAGCAACTTGTATTTTTGTCTGTTGCATTCCATATATGATAATACTGAGAATAAAGCGAGAAATCTTTCAAAACTTTTCATCTACTAACTCACAACAGATATTGAATAACATCAACGCTTTGTTTTGCGTCGCTTGCTTCAATAATGATATAATTTCTTAACAGGAATTGATAAATTTGATATTTTCTAATTTTCAAATCATTATTTAATGCAACTGTAAGACTTCTCAATTAGTATAAACCTACTCATGCTGATAGTAAGCCAAAAAGAATTATTTATTCGATTTGTATGCTAGGCTTTATACTTTTAGTTTTCTTGATACCTAAATAGTTATTGTCACAGTTGCATAAAGTAGCAGTTAACAAAACTTCGACAACAAAACGTAATCTTTTATAATATTTATATAACAAAAGCATGCACTGAAACTAAAGGGTGCAGCAGATTCAATATATATTTTTCTCAATCAAACTGTCCATCATAAGTTTTAGACATGCAGTGCAAAAAGAAATCAGTGTAATATATGCAATTTTCCAACGGACTCTTTATATGAAATTATCTTATCAAACTTATTAATTCTTGAAATTATAATATTTTTTATTGTAATTTATTCATACTCATTATCCGGAAAATTTTCATTGAAATAGAATAGTGTAGTTAATTATTGTATTCATTATTACCAGCGTATTGATTCGTAGAGACATAAATCAAACAACTGTCGTCACACCATCATTGAGTTAAATGCTGATTAGCGATTTTGGATCAGATTAAAAAATTTTTATTTTTTCCTAAGTATAAGGCCTTTTATGTTTATTAAATCAAAAAGAAATATATATGTTTCCATAAACGAAAAGAATAAGATATTTGATTGTAAGTGAAGATTCAAACATGATAATATAAAGTCACAGCCGATCGTTAAACTTAATGATCATATGACGACAGTTTTCTGATTTACGTCCATAAGAATCATTGCGTTTGAAAAAAACTATCCACAAACTATCTATACTATTCTATTTCAATGAAAACCTTCAAATAATGATTATGAACAAATTAAAATAAAAAATAATATAATTTCAAAATCCAATAAATTTCATAAGATAGTTTCACAGAAAGATTCTGCTGGAAAATTGCATACGTTACACTGATTGTTTGTATTGCATGTATAAAAATTTATGATAGATACTTTGATTAGGAGATATATATGCAGTTTTGTAAAGAATTCAAAGCTAAATCTTTTGTTTAAAAGACTAGTCTGAAATGTTAAGAGAATATTGAGATATTGGAAAAATACTGAGACAACCATTTATTCTGCTACACCTCTTACTGTTCCTTGAGAGTTCCTAACAGTCCGTTAAAAGCAGTCCCGAAAAGTGACTTTAAAATATAGAGATATAAAGTTTTGAGTTCATGCCAAATTAAATATCTAGTGGCTGCCTAACTTTTCATGTCGATAATCAACATATTTCTCATATTCCGAGGCCCTTATTGCATTACAAGAAAGTGTGAGTTCACAATTCAGAGTTAGTATTTAGATGATAACTTCAGATTTGTCAATTATTAACTTTCGCGCTCATATTTGTGAACTGAAAAAACCGTTAAAATCGAAAAAATGAACAAAATAGGCTAACTTCAGTATGCTAAAATTTGTTTAAAAGCTTTGTGAAAATCGATCTACAACGGTAAGTGACAAACGGAATTGTTTAATGTCGATCTACACAACTCGTATGCCTAAAACGCAATTATATAAATATTAGTGAGACTTTGCAATGACAATGAAATTCTTCAAGGCTCAGAGACCTAAACAAAACTTCACATTTAGATTTTATCAAACAATTTTATCTGAATATCAGATGTTACTGTTTCTATAAAAAAAAAAGGCTTTATGAGACATACAAATTATTAACATCAAAAAAATATTTCTCCAGATATAACATTTCATTTAAACATGTAAAGTACTATAAAAATGTGTTTTATACTTTGAAAATCTACAACAAATTATTGATAGTCATTTCAATAAAAGCACATGTCTACATAACAAATATGTTTCAACTTTTCACAATTAAAATTATTCTTTTTTTGATTATATGATTCTATCAGAGTATCTTGTACTAGACGGTACAAGTTTAAAATGATAACAATGATTAATAAATTTTGTCTAGAATCTTTGACATCCGATAAAATGAATCAAATGTTACTAATCAACTATAGAATATTCAAGTAAAAGTTTTCTTGAAATTCTTTCATTGTATTACTTATACAGTCATTTATAGAAAAGCTTTGACATTTCAATGAAACGAATTATAACAAAAGCTTAATATTTGTCAAGTTTTGTCATAACTTCTTTCATTTGAAAGTTTCTCTCGTCAATGAAAGTAGAAAATATTAATAATTAAGACAATTCATGTCTTTCTTTTTTACTAAGGGCGGCGCTTTTGATATCAATAGTTTATCGATAAATATAAAGTGAAAATGAATCTTGACAAGACGTGTGTTAAGATCTAGCCGAATTCAAATTTAATAATAAATAACGGAATTTTATTAATTCAAAAATAAACCTTTGTATGCTTAAAAATATTCAAGATGACTATAATCATTTCAAATATTTGTTATGAACCAAATTATATGAACTAATACTTTGAAGAATGCTACTATAATATTGAAAGAAAAATGTAACTAGCTTAATCTATTTAAAAGATATCTATATTGTTTTTCGCGGTAAGTCCTTGAGACACCCTGCATTTCTTATCTGACCCGATCTCGCTACGAAACGTTAGGTCTAGAGAAAATTAGCCAGAATACAATAGTTTCTCTAAATTCGACTTGAACTTGTTTCGATTCATCTAGTAAAGACATCTATCGATGACGCACAACCAAATTATAATGCTCTCAATACGTTTGGTAAACTCCAGATTGTCTAATGGCATTACTCTTTCTTTTTCCTGTCGACTTTTCCAGAGAATTATTCAGCCATTTATCGACGAATCGTTGACATTGTTAGACATTCACAATCAGAAAAATATTTTACATTAAATGATACTAAAATAAGCTGATTATCTTGAAAAATGAACGAGTACTAAACAGAATACGACAACCTATATCGATTGACAATACTAGAAGTGCATACCCTAAAGCAACAGTCAGTGAAATAGACGAATCCAATAGGAATATAGAAGCGGAGAAGAAGCAAAAATTCTTACTTATTCTATGCTTTAATATTGTTATCTAGCTCATCTGTTTCGTTGACTGTTGTATTTGGAATATGCACCTCTAGTAGCGTTAATCGATATAGATTGTCATATTTCGTTGAGTACTTCGTTTATTTTTCAAGATAATCAGCTAACTTTATTGTTCTTCGACATGGAACATTTTTCTGGTTGTGAATGTGCAAATACTATCATTATCCATCGATAAACGTCTGAGCAATATCTCGTAAAAGTCAGAGAGCAAAATTGTTGCCATTGGGAAATGTGACTCTATGCAATATTATAACTTGGTTATTTTTTTTCTACAAATAGATCATTTATTCAATGGCCCTGTTACGTTATTCTCTACCTCTATCACGACTCGTCTTTCCGACAGCCGTCTCCAATCGTGGAGCAGCAACAACACCTTCGAATTCGTCCACCATTCAACACACGACAAATTCTTCGAGTCAAGCTGCTTCAGAAGAAACTGTATTAACTAAAGTGTCACCATACAAGACTGTTCCTGGCAAAAACTATGGTGATACCTATGCCGAGGTGGCATTGGCTCGTTTAGATGACGTACAAAATTTGATCCGACGGGGTTCTATCTGGCCATTGACATTCGGTCTTGCGTGTTGTGCTGTCGAAATGATGCAAATGGCTGCTCCTCGGTACTGTACTTGAAAACTTAATCTGAAACCTATGTATTGAATATTTCGATTTCGATAACTGTTCTAGTTATGATATGGATCGATTTGGTGTTGTCTTTCGGGCTAGTCCTCGTCAATGTGATCTGATGATTGTCGCTGGTACTTTGACTAACAAAATGGCACCTGGTAATCACTCTAAACACTTTTTCTAAATATTACTTGTAACGACAGAACAAATAATGTTACTTATGTTCCATATTATAGCTATTCGACGTCTCTACGAACAAATGCCCCATCCGAAATGGGTCATATCGATGGGTTCGTGTGCTAACGGAGGTGGCTACTATTACTATTCATATTCAGTGGTATGTAATTATTAACCGATTTCAATCGATAATTCATGGACTTTCATTTAGGTTCGCGGCTGCGATCGCGTCATCCCCGTCGATATTTATGTTCCGGGTTGTCCACCAAGTGCAGAAGCATTACTCTACGGTATTCTTCAACTACAGCGAAAAATTAAACGTCTAGATACGTTACAAAGATGGTATCGCAAATGAAACAGTCAATCTCAACTCTATTACCAATTGCTATCTGACCCAGCAATAATCATAGTTGTCCGAATTTTGCTCTTTCCTTTCGTCTCATTTTCAGCTAGTCTTTTGTCGTTGAACAAGCGCGCATGTAAATATTGAACAAAATTGAGGGTGTCTGTTTTTCAGTTTTACGCAATTATATATTGTACTAGTCATAAGCTTGTCAAGAATCGCCCAATCTCATTATACTTACATAATATGTATCTTTTAGCAATGAAATAAATTTTGATCTTTTATTCACTTATATAGATTTCAAGAAGAAGACCATGTCGACGATGATAATTTGTTCAGCTGAGAGAAAGTGGATGTGAGCGTTGTTATGTAGCTTCTTCTCTCTACACTCACTCACACCCTTTACTGCATAAACACCATAAAATAACTTCATATATTGGTTTTAAATATATATTACATGGTTTTCCTAATGCATTAAACATTTTATTTGATATAACTGAATCTTCTGTTGTTTGTTTTCGAAATGCATAAAATATTCGATCATTTAATTTTTCTTCTAAAATGTGAAACTATGTCAGCTAAATCTACACTTGTCATCATTTTTTCACTTGTTTCAATCACCGTTTGACCACGTTATTCTGATTAACCATTTAAAATTACCAAGAATCTGTTTCATTACATCTGATGAAATAACTTGTCATTTCAATAGTTGTGCTAACTAATTATTGATAATAATGATGATCTAATGACATATGTTGACTTCAAAAATATTTAAAAAGGATAGTATGGTATATTCTTGTATGTCTTTACCTTGTACATCATCTGTTGTTATAAATTGTCGGACAACTTTAAGAAGTTTTCATTTTGTCATCTGGTGATTGAAATACACAAATTTATTATAATCATGACTTCACGTGTCTAATAGTAAAGAATATGCTGTCGGGATTAATAGAATTAAATGGTTTTAAGATATGCATCAAAATCTTAAGGAAGAAAAAGTAAAAATTTATAAATATTCGCCGGAAGTCGTTTTATTTTGATCAATAATATTCATCTTTTTGTTAGAAGTGAAAAAATGACAGTAAAAGATTGAAACTTCGCTATTGTTACAACAATTGACAAAGTTCAGAAATCGATGTCCATCTATTAATTAATCACTAAATTGTTATATTAGTTAGTTCTTGAAAGTACGAAAAAAGACAGATTGAAGGTGAAAATGACGATTTAAACGAAACAGAGCCAAGATTAAATACAGTGTTTGATGATTAATCTAGTAGCGGCGACAGGAATTTTCGTCAGGGGAGAAGGCTTAGTCCCTGCTGTCAAAATATCAAAAGTCGTCGTGGAAGTTTTTCGACTCTTTAAGAATGCTGGCGTTAGAATCCAATTTCTTAATAACATTTAAATTAGTTTTTTCTTGTTTTGTGGAACCCAGCATTATTTTCGAAGAAAATAATAGTGAGTGAAAGTTTACGTCGAGGTATTTACGACTTTCCATTCCAAGGCTCTAGTGATCGAGGACTAGGATGCCATAGATAATTGAATAAATTTTCCTAGTAACGAGAAAAGGCACGTCACTCATAGCAGTATTTAAATTCTTTTGACATCTTCTAGAATCTTCCAAAGCCAGCGCTGCGCAAGTCAGACTTGACTTGAGGCATTTTTGTCTTAACTTGCCAAGCTCTGTTCAAAGCATTCTATGAATCTAGGATTTCTACTGAAGATTCTAGCTAACCTAAATATTGCTGGTTTAGGTATGTAACTCGGTGAAAAGATCTTAGTGTAGTTGTCACTCAGCAGGATAGTCATATTATTGATTTAGCCCAATCAGAATAGGACGGACATAGAAAATTATAAACTAATTGAATTCTAAGTTTACGCCAAAACTGAACGGTACATGTCAAAGTTTGTTGAGAGCAAAAATGGGGTGGGCTCGAAAGCTTACTGAACGACTAGATCAATGTGTATAGCAGACTATTATTGTGGTTGAACCGACGAAACAAAGAATAAAATGATATTTTCCGCTTCCCACGATATCCATCATATATTTTATCATTAGGAGAAAGGATATTTTATATTGAAGCTGTAGCTGACAATATAACTTTTTCCAGTACAACGATATGAAATGAATCTCATAAATTGACAGAACAGTAATTCTAAATGCAGACACTTTCGAAATGATAAAATTTCAGAATACCCTTATCAACTATAAAAGTTGTTTTAATTTTGATTTATCCATTTATTTTTGCGGTTTTTAAAATAAATTACTTCAACTTCTCCAACAATATAACATAAATTTATAACAGTCAGAGTTTGTGAATTCCACACTTTGGCCCTTAAGAGGCCGTACTGACAAGTTTCTATTACAGGATAAATAATTTTTTGTTCCAATCATGTACAATTGAAATAATGCAATGTTTTATCAAACTATTACCTTTGTCTAAAGCTTTCTTCCAGTTAGCAAACTCTGAAGTGGTAAAAACATCGATGACAATCAATTTATTAGAAGAAAAATGACAACAATAATAACACTAATATGCATCTTTTTATAAAGAATACTTTCACCAGATTCTATCGTTACGTCAGCTTAACTGGAACGAACGTCTTTGGTAACTTATTGAATAAGTTATTCATTTTGGTTGAACAGGAGACTCATTTCAATATGTATTGACATCATTTGAAGCAAGTTTTGTTCTAAAACTTTCCTTCAATGTAATAGAGGTTGTGAGAGAAGATAATTAAGTGTCAGAAACAAGATCACATATAATTTGATCACTAAAGAACAAAGGTTTTAAAATCTACATGATGATGAAGAAATTGAAATACTAACATTCAATCCTAATTATTTGTGGTTCATTATTACTTTGTTTTTTTTTTTGTTAGAACAAAGCAAAAATGACTACATAGTTCTAAGCTTGTCAGGCTGCGTTTCTCAAGGTTGCGATTTAACCACAAGAAGAGAGAGTGCTTTTTGGCATGGTTCTAGCGAACAACCAATGGAAAACTGGATAAAAGCCTATGTAACTCAGAAAACGAATTGTGGCAAAATCCCCAAGAAAGATTATCGATTCTTAGTAAAAATTGTTGAAAAATCCTGGGGGCTCAATCATTTCTTACTGGCACCGCCACTACTTGTATCCAACTACAATCGATTGTCTCCAAAAACAAAAGAAAGTCAAAACAGAACGTGTTAAAAAGAGATTTTCTTGTAGATATTTACTTTATGCAATTCATGAAATTATAGGTGTTTCATCAAAGAACGATTGTTTATGCTCTGCAATAGGAGACTATACTCGATGAACTCGATGTAATCATCTTTGATAAACCTAATAAATAAAGTCATATAGAAAATGAAACATTTGTTCTACTTCATCGTAGATTACTTTTTTAACGTTTTGATCATGATCATTATTCGATTCTATTTGATTCCATTTTTATCAGTGCTTTTCATCTTCTATATTAGCACTTCTAGTACTTCCTGATTCTTTTTGACCGTCTGCTTCTTTCACGCTATCCATTAATTTACTGTGTGAATCATTCTATAGTTTGATACAAGTTAAATTTTCAATCGTCATAATTTAAAGCTGAACCTTTAAATTTTGGGCAATTATTTCGTTCATAATTACTGAATCACCACATTATTTTTCTTGTATATATGGTATCTTTTCACTTAAAAAAAAAGAATTAAATAAAAGTTATTTTTAATAAATGATGACAAACTAAATAGTTTCAATAAAAATAAATAATTCATCATAACATCTCTGTTAGATGTTCAATAAATATCCAAAATCACTTCTTGAAAGAATAAAAGAATTTTTTTTTTGCAGTATCAGTACCATGTTTAAGTTCAATCAAATAAGATGATTGTTCATGTTGACAATGATTCAAAGTTTAAACAGACAGACTATAAAACCGATCAATAAAATAAGGGTTTTACATTAATTTACGTTTTTCTTCTCTTAAAATACGGCTAGTAATTCTTGCACTCGAAACGAAGAAAAAACAAAAAATAGATATTTACTCAGGAGTGACATACTAGTACTATAAGAGATAGCAATTGCTTCCCCTACAAACAATTTGAGAAAGTAAAAGAAACTTACTGTTTTCCTGAATTTTTCGTGCCTCCTGTTTATGCTCGAGTGAGACTACATAATTCAACACATGTGCAAATTCAATACAATTTTGTAGTTCATGTTGAAGAATTGACCCATAATCTCTTGATTTTGTTTATTGTTATCTTGATGAATACACTTCCCTTCGTATATACGCGACATTTTAATTATTTATTTTAAACTCTCGTGTGTTACAATAAACAATTTTCAAAGTTCATCGTTGTATTAGGACCAGTAGTATGATGATAAATCGGCCCACATCTCTCTAAGACTGACTATATGATATTTAATGACTTTGATCAAACAAATCGAAGATTAATTAACTAACATTTAATGAATGAAACGCAATAACTAATTGTGTTTAGTTTTTGTTAACAATCAAACCGGGTGTGCCATTCGGCATTCGTAGATTGTTTTTATTTTTTTAACAAAATTCATAATTTAAATTTGTAAATTTAAATTCGAAGTGTGTCACAATAAATAGCTAAACAACACGAAGGGCAACATCTCTATCCTCACAAGTGGTTGTTGTGTCTATAATGTTTTCAAGAAAAGAATATTTCTTCCAATTTCAGATAACCTTTTACATGATTATAAAGGCAAGAATACAATAGTTATCGAACGGTATGTAATGTCAAAGAAATTTCAGTTTTTCTTAAATCATTTTAAATAAATCTTTTTCTTTCATAAAAGGTATTACACTAATTTGAAGCTCGTTATGTACTTTCAGCTGATCCAATACTCAAGCCTTCATGCATCATCATTCTGAGAAAAATTAAATTCAACGAACAGAGGTTTTGTTGCTAGAATGCCCATTATCGAAGAAGAGGAAATAAAATAGACCTATTCAAGGTTTTATTACGTCCTCTAAAAAATTGACCTTGTGCGGTTCATATTTTT